AACCTTATAATGTAGAACTATGGATGCACCTCAAAAATCCACTGAAAAGGTTGTTTTAATATTGAAAAACCTTGTGATTGATCATCTCGACATCAAAATGTTTGACTATGAAAATTAAAAAGATTTTGAGTCTCATAAATAGTGCATCTTACAACATATCATCTACACCTTCCATTTTCAAGATTTTCATATGTTTATAGATTGATTTGATTTAACTATTTTTGAATTTTAAAATTTTATAATTAGATATAAAAATAGATTTTGAGATAATCTCAAGAACATTTTACATCAAAATTATATATTATGATAAAATTTGTAGGTGCTCCATAGCGGGATTATTTACGGTTGCAACCGTATGGAAACCACACCCTATATATATATATATATATACATTCTACTACCCTTGCATGCAAGCACTTGGGAAGAGAGTTAGAAAAAGTAAAAAAAAAAACAAGAAGAAGGATAGGTTTATGCTTTGAGTTGGGATAAACTCCAAGGTTCTACTCAACCAAACCTATATGTCTAACACTAAGTAGAAGCCCAAGGAATGAGAGAGAGAAAATTTAAGACACACCATGTTTCCTAGAACACCCTCTACAAACCTACACGTCTACAACTAAGTAAAAGCCCAAAGGACACATAAGAGGAGAAAGAGAATTTAAGAGACAATATTTTCTAGCAATTGAATTTTAAGTAAGATAGTCAGTTTAGGAAAAAGATAAAGAGAAGGGAGAGCCCTCTTTAATGTATTAAAAAATATATTTTCTTTAGAGAATTTTATCCGCGTAGTTTTCTTGGCAGGCAAAAGTCATATGCAAAACTTACTTAAAATATAATGCATGTACCTTCCCTTTTTAGAAGATAAGATTTTCCGTATAAGAGTGACAGTCCTAAAAAAACCAGGCATTTCCTATACTTAAGCCAAAGAAATCTTAAAACCTAATTAATATAGGACTTTAAGAGAGGAGCAATGCGGATGCCTGAATCCCCTTAATGCTGGAAAAAATCTAGAATACTTATCCTTAAGAGCATACAAGGAGAGAACGATGAAAACTTTAACGGTTGTGATTAAACAAAGAAATTTGAAGATGATGATGCACGCACTTCCAAGCAAATTAGTTTTATTTACTGAATTTAGTAATGTACTACTGTGCATACAGAAAATTGAGTTGTAAGAAATTGGGTCGCCATTAAAACTGTACAAAGCTTCTTCTTCTTCTTCTATTTCTTAAGTTGTTTCTTCTTGTTGTCTCTCATTTTCGTCCATTTTGTTTTGAAACAAATGGACCAGTATTGATATTATAGTCCATAGAAGGTTGATTTTAATATTATGGTTTATAGAAGATTGGTTTGAAGAGGATGGTGGTATTCTAGTGAAGAACACCTAAGTTGGGTATGTTGGAATCGAGTTGGGGAATAGCCATGAAGGAAACTGGTAAGGATGATGATGTTGGAGACCATAGGACATTGATCACCATTAATTCTTTTAGTACAATATTCAGTCATCTTGTAGGAACCAATTTCTTTTTATTTGTGTAACTTGGATTCCTGCACAGATGCGGCACTTCAAACTGAACTGAGATGTGGTGTTTTGTTTTTTTTACTGTTCGGTGTCTTCTTCCTTTTTCTTCCGCTTTTTTTGGTGGGGGGGGGGGGGAATCACTACTAAAGTATTAACTATTTGACATTTCACCCATATATCAAACACCAAAAATATCAACAATTCTAATTCAAGATCATGTGGATTCTGAGATTTTTGACATGCAATCAAATGGTACAAGTGAGAGATCATCTCTTGGGTGCTCTTTGATAAATTTTCCTTTTTCTGATGCTATTTTATAAATCTGGTGGTTCATGAATGCGGACATGAATGCTTAGGATGTGAAAGGTTTTCTATTTATTTCTTATTTTTTATTTTTTATTTTTACTTTTGATGGTAGATGAATCATGCATATGCATATTTAGATGGTAAAACAGAAAGCAAGTAGTCAACTACAATCCTGAAAAAAATCAGTTGGGTCCGTGTATTGGGTTTTGAATGACACTTATCTCTATCCTATGTCATGGGGTAAGAATTGTAAAAATTGCAGATTTTCTAATAAACGTCCAGATTTTCCAATAAATGCTGACTAATCATGAGAACTGAGGGAGAATGGTGGAGATATAGTGTCATCACCATAAGCACTGCTACGAAAGTTTAGCCCTGGTCCCATGTATTCATATTACAATTATGTACTTAAAGCAACTGTAATCTTAAGTATTAAATAATTGAAAAGGAGTTACTTGTGGACCAATGCATGATCGGTCAGTAGAAAGGTAGCGCTTTCTAATTCTGTAGTCGGTATGGCACACAAAGATAGTTGTCCTCCATATCATTTTATTTTAAATTTATTTGCCTATGAATTATGACAGACTTATTTTCCCATTTCCTGTAGTGCCAAAATCATTTTGTAACTTCTTATCTGATGCTCTCATAATATGCTATGCTTGATTTAAGTTTAATTTGTAAATGTAGATTCCATACCTAAATCTCTTGGCACCCTTGGGGCGGCATTTTGGTGATGGCTCATTTATGGTTGAAGTGAGACCTTTGGGTACTATTTATAAGCCACTTAGTTATCTGGTCTGTCACAAAATGTCACCACTTTGAGTGAAAATGAAAACTGAAAACACCATTTTCGTGCAACTCATAAATTGGTGGCTTTTGTGGGTTTGCTGACCACCGCTTGCCCAAAACACGCATTGTATCCAAATTGGTAATTATTCTTTTTATTTTTATTTGGAACATTAACGGATGTATAAGATGCAAATTCTAATCAACATTTTGCTTCTGATGGTTACCCAGTGTTGTGCTGGTAGAACAAGACAGTTTCAATTAATGGATGTTCACCTTGAGTTGCTCTACTATGGATGGTCACGGACTCGAGTCAGGCTGGATATGTGATTGATATGAGGGCATCACTAGCCAGGTTGCTATACTAATCGTGAAAGGTTTATCTTCCCCTACTTCAACCATGGATTCTCTCTGTAAGTGCTATTATGTCTCATAATCTATCAAGGTGCACTTTATAATTTGTAATCAATGAAGATCTAAGATCAATGGTTTTATTTGTTTATGTTGTGCTACTATTACAATTATCATCCTTATTTTTTGAGAGAACAATTACCATCCTTCTTTACTTGCCCAAAAAAAATATCCTTTTTTAGCTTTGGAGGCATTCCGTGCTGATTCGTGGTGGGATATAGAGAATTTGAGAATCCAAAATGGGAAGACTATGGCACGGTTTGAACATAATGGATCAGAACTTGAGGATGTTAATATTCAACGCCTTCGCTTAAGGTCAAGGAAAGCAGAAGAGCCTGACTGCCGCCATTTCTTGAAGCCCAACGTGGATGTTTGTGTGCAGTATTCACATTTGAGTAAGAAAAAGCGCAGTAAAGGGGAGCTTCCAAAGGTATGTGGTTTGAATTCATTATTTACATGAGCAATTTTTCAAGTTACAAATATTACTGGCTGCACTGCCAGTCTTTCCCTATTCTATTATGCAAGGCAATAAAGTTCTCAGTACTACCAATATTTTCCAAGGATCTTTGATAGGAGCTTCGAGATGATGTCTATATTTAGTGTTTGTTGTGATATTTGGTTTCATGATTCTTGTTCTTGTTACCCATGAGTTGTCCTAGTGAAACCCAATTAGAGATTTCATTTCAGGAAACTGAGTGCTTATTTGGAAACTTATGGTGGTTCTGTAACTGTTTTTATACCAATCTTGAAATTGGATAGGCTAATCCTCATCATTTGCTATTGGTCCATTAGATGATGTCAAGCTATGGATTTTGATTAAGTTGTTTGTCAAGTAATGTTTCTTAAGGGATTGCTTACAATAAATTTTCAATTCAGGGACGGTGTGATGCTAAAATAACATCTATCCTACGGAGGCCTCATAAACCAGATTGTGAGTGCAGTTTCTTTGTAAGTTTTTACGGACGTGGAGATTTGAATGAGAAGAAGAGGAAGCGTGTTCTTGACCGTGAGACGAGAGCGGTGAAAATTAGCCATCTATTTATTCTTCAAAAGCCTTGTATCATGACAAATGAAAACAACCAGGCCCATGATAAACCATATGATGACTGCCCTTCAATACGTGTGTCTAAATTGTTCAATGCGGCTGCTTGTTCTGAAGTGGCATGGTTAGTTGTAGTCTCAACTTTGCGAGGAATGATATTTGATATAAGGATCACACAGAATAGGATAGCTTATCTTGTTCTTAATAGAGATGGTAGACGCTTTGGATATGAAAGTGAAAGTACAGGTTTTAATAATAGTTCAACTGATGACCAAGTTAATGAGACAGATTTTGGGTCTCTTCATGGGGTCAAGGAGATATGTTTTCAAATGAAAGATGGTGTCATGCATGGACAAGTCCAAAATGTGGATATTGTTGAACTGGCAAAACCAGGTTTCTATGAAAAGGAAGGTGATCTAGACGCCCTTGATCCCTTTTATCCCATGGAGGAAGTCAATTCCGAGTCTACTGAGTTCATTGGTTTGAGGCGATCTCAAAGGCAAAAGAATTATCCGGACCGTTTTGTGAGTTTCGATCTCCCTTTTGATAAAAAAGGTTGGACAGCCAATCCTCGAACTTCTTCAGTAGATATATGGGAAAAGAAGGAAATTCCATGTTCCGACCATCCATTATATTGTTTGGTAGAAGATGATGAGTCTTCTCAGAATAGTCCCAAAAAGATGAAGCATGACGATACCACCATGGCAACTGGTTCTCCGGGTTCGGATCATTCCCAGAACCAAAAGAGACATTCTAAGAGTTTGTTGAGCAAGAGCATTACTTCAACTGTTTCCAGGGAGTCTATGAAAAAAGGAGAACCGTCCTGTAAGATCATGGAGAATGATTATATGCTGCCACGAAACGATCCCAATAAGATTGACGGGATGGACATTGTGAGAAAGAGAAGTTCTCAAAATCAGAAGGAAGAAGACTCGTGCTATAGTGAAAACATCAGAAAACATAGTGAAAGTCAATGCACTGTGACAACACAGACGGAGAACCCAAGTGTTGGAAGAAATGACTCTGACAATGGTGAAATTAGAAGTATTTCCCCAAGCCAAAAAGTGGGAAGTGGGAGACTGCAAAAAGGACTGAAAGAAAAGGTACGAAGTAGTTTTAAAGTTCGACAATGCATACAGAATTCCTTTTCAAAGAAAAGGTCAAGTGGTATGAATTCACTGGGGGTGAATTTTACACGTTTGAGGAAGAAGAGGAAGAAAATGAACAGTTTTGGCACACTTGAGCATGGCCCAAACCTTGAATGCTTGATGAAGAGTATTGATTTAGCAGAGAAGAAGAAGCCACCACCTGTAATATCCCAGTGGGAATTGCATAATAAGTCCAATCCAATTAAGTTTTCTGTGTGGCCTTCAGACAGTGATAATGATAGAAAGAGTTTGGAGCATGAAGACCTTTGGAAGGAAATGGAAGAGGCCTTAGCTCTTTCTTCTTTCAATGCGGCTCTTCAGGTACATAACCTTTTCAGATGTACTTAAATGCCTGCTCTCTTACTGAGCTCTTTGATTGATAGTTTTATACTTCATGGTTAGAATATAATGCCTCATTAAATTTTGGATTAAATTTGTGATCACTTTTCGGAAACCATTTCCTGTATGGAAAACTTAGTAAAAGATATTGTCAATGTGTTATTATTGGGAGGATTTTTACCACGAAAGTTTTGGTAGGCTGTTTTTCACCTGGAACTTATTATGATTTTACTGAGTTTAGATCATTTTTTATTAATATTATAAACCTTGAAGATTAATCTTGGATTTATTTTCTTATTGAAATATAGAGCTTTAGTTCTGGATTACAATGAGGAGAATGTGTGAGCAGTAGCTGCTTCGTATTTGACTTCCATGTGCATGGGGTGGTATTTCGATGGAGCTACTTTGAAATAATAGTCTTTTGTTTGTCCAATGATGTTCTATGGAAAGTAAATTTTAGTTTTCAGGTTATGTATATCTCTTTAAAGGTAGGTATCAATACTTGTCAAACTGGAAGAAAATGACGCATTTAGGGCCTGTTTGACAACCTGAAGCACTGTGTTATCGGGAACCTAGAAGTTTCTTCTCCCTGTGAAGCTGGATGTTCTAGCTTTTTGTACGGGAAAATACTGTGTTTGGTAACTGCCTGAAATTTATTGGGATATTGGAAACGTTTTCAAAATTTAGAAAAAAATTACCAATTATGCATGACGTTAAATTTACCCATTAAAAAAAAGCAATTTTCCAATTTGCCAATTTTGAATAATTTTTCTAAGTGACTATTTTTTGGGAAAACCCTAAACCCAATTAGTTTTGGGCCTAGATCTATACAATAATCGGTTTGGATCCATCAAATTGGATCAATAACAATTTAAACTGATAAATGAAGTTTTCTTTGTTCAAACTCAATGTAGAAATCGTCAATTTGGCAGATTTTCAATAAGTGTAATATCACATGCGACCCTAAATTCGAGTAAAAATTCAACCTATAAAATATAAACAAAAAATTAATTAGATACCTGGTGCAAATAAATCAAGCTCAGATGGGAAACCCCATTCATTTTGATAAATACACAAAAAATTTATATTTGGCAGATTTCAGAAATGGGTGGAGAAAAATCAAATTTTCCAAGTCAGATCCACAAAAAAAAGGGCAATTATCAGTCAAGTTGAGCCAATAATCTTTTAAAAAGCTTGATTACGATCATTTAGAACCAAAATTGAGAAAATCTGGTTGAAAAATGAAGGAGAATGTTGCATTTTGGCAGATTTATCAAAAAATAGTAAAAAACCCATTTTTCAGTAAAAAAGGGTAATTTTTAGTGAAAAAAATCAAAAGAAAATTATCAAGATGAATTTATCATCCAATTTAGGACTTCTTATATCCCTTAAAATATTTATTCTATTGATTTATTGATGCACAAAAGTTGTAGAAAAATCATACAAATGTGGTTAAACCTCACACACTCTCTAAAACCTTTCTATGCAGCAAGATAAAGTCATGGGCAGAAGGTTAGAGGGAGGACGAGAGCTCAAGGAGAGAGGATGAAGGTAGATAAATAACTCTGGAGGGAGGTGAGAGGAAGGAGAGAGGGAGAGAGGAATTGGGGATGGGGGATGTTTTTCTTTGTGAGAGTGGCAGGGGTTTTGAGACGCGGTGAGCAAGAAAAAAAAAACAGAAGTGCTGCTCCATGGGGTAGGGTGGAGACTCGCACTTCACATTTTTGGTGACGTGGTCTCCCCACTCCTCAAACCTCGCCCCTAACCGGACTTGGAACTGGGCGTAAGGATTGGAACTCCCATTATCTAACAACCGAAGTTCTAATCAGCAAACTTTTAGTAAGTAATCATTTACTAGAATAGAAATAATCTTTTCTTAAATTGGATTCCAAATATCATGGCAATAGTTTTCTATCTTAACATTAATGGAGGCCTCAAAAACACTGATAATCTCAAATTATCAGTATTGACCGGGTGTACATGTCACTGTAAGAAAAACCCTGTATAATTATTATGCTAGCGATATTTGCTACTGTCTTACTGGGATAAAATGCTCATGTGGAAGATAGGAATTCGTGTAGTCCCATTTAATGCTTGTGTCATAATTTGGAAATAAGAAAATATTAATCAAATCTTTTACTAACACGTGAACATCATTTTGTTAGTAAAGAAAGTTTGCCAATGAATAAACCAAACTCCTACTCTCCATTGTAGTGTCTTTAAATGTAGCTTAGATGAATTGGCATTCTTTAGCAACTTTTTGGTTTTTCGAGTTTTTTGCTGGTGTGCCATTGGTCTTAACTCCTTATGTCCAGCTGTAACAATTTAGTTGTTGTTAATAGTTTGGTATCAATGTTGAAAAACGTTATTAATCAAATTATATTAGTAGTATTAGATTGAAATGACCAACTACATGACATGAGAAGATAAGTTATTCTGCTCTATTTTTCAAATAAATGAATTTTACAATTAAATGTGCAATCTATTTTTATGCTGTCTCCAAACTTTCAATGAGACAATTACCATTTACAAAATGATGCCTAACTGACTAGGGTTGTGAAATGCATGCCCAAAAGAATGTGACTAAAAGAAACGGCTCTCTATTTTCTGTATGTTTTATATGGGAGAGGATAAATGTGAGGTTTGCAGCCTCATCACATCACTAAGTTGATTTCTAAGTTTTGTCGGGGTGTGGTACAGAGAGATGTGAGTTGGTAGCCTTATCACCTCACTGGGTTGAGCTCCTATGTTATGTAAGGGAGGGAAGGAGGCAGGGAGGCCCAACAATTTACTGTAATCTAGTAGGAGGGAGGGAGCTGTGAATTTACTGTAAACTAGTAATATAACTCTACAAAAAAACTACTAATGCTTTAATTATAGTATAATTTATCTAAGGGTGAGGTTTGTATAAGGTTGGCTCCTTAAACAATCAAAGTAAGGCACACCTTCAAGTGGTGCCGAAAGATGTAGTTTCAGTGTCCAAAATCCCTGTGATGGCCAAAAAAAAAAAATTCATCCCTAATCAGAAAATTTAAAGCTTCAAAAATGGAATAGATCAAATAGGTAGATGAACACTTGAAATCATGAAAATGGACGGTCCAGATAGTGCATTACAAAATGCACTATTTCTAGGACTTGAACTTTTCATTTTTTCCTCATTCATGCATCTCAAGGTTGAGATGATCGATTAGATGGTTTTTTGTTCTGGAACGACCTTTTCCAATGAGTTTTTAAGGTGCGCCTTACTTCTACAGTGTAAGGTTGACACCTTACATAAAGTTTTGCCATTATCTAATGCTTTTCGTTTATTGTATTTATAACTGTAAAATCAAAACTGTAAACCAAAACTAAATTGAAGGCTCTGTATTTAAGGTATCACCTACAGAAATCATGACGGCATTGTCAATACTGGAGCTTTTCAGTAGTCATAATGCCTTTCTATATTTAATGATGAGTTTTCTTTTTCCTGGAATGGTGTCATTTATCATGCACTTCTTATAGCCTAACTTGAGTAATTATTTTCAGGAGATGAAGATGGGAGATTCTAATTCATGTGTAGGTGCCAAAGAGACTGAACACTTGTGCAAACATGAATACTTCTTGGATGAACAAATTGGAATTATTTGCCGAATATGTAAATGTGTAAAGACTGAAATACAATATGTACCGCCCTTGTTTGTAAGTGACTTTTGAGCCCTATGAGTAGAATTTATTCAGTAGGTAAATTATACTACAATCTAATGGGCTGAGAGAGCCACAGTCCTATGAATGATAAAAGGTAATGGTGGGAGATTAAGTGCAATCCACTACTGGTGGTTGTATGTTCCACTCCCCATCACTTACTATCAATTCCGTGGTTGACCTTATATGGATTATGGTTTTCCATAGTCCAGCGGATTAAAGTATATTTTCCCTATTTATCATTCACTCTCCCATATAATAGGCTCTCATCTTCCATTCTCTGTCCCTATGGGCCCTCAATGCAGGATTCTTACACTATTGGGAAAAGGAAACAACACATTGATAAAGTTTTGGAAGCAGATGAGATTCTTGATGTGTTCACCATGCCTTGCAATGGCACTGTTTTAAGGGAAGCTCACAAATTAGAAGAGTATGGCAATGTTTGGGCTCTTGTACCCGAGCTTGAGAGAAAACTACACACACATCAAAAGAAAGCATTCGAATTTATTTGGAGGAATATTGCAGGTACATTGAACCCGAAAGATATGGACTGTGGGTCCAATCAAACTGGGGGTTGTGTTATTTCTCACTCACCTGGAACGGGAAAAACTTGTCTCATTATCTCATTTCTCAAAAGCTACTTGGCCTTGTTTCCGGGTAGTCGGCCATTAATCCTTGTTCCAAAAGTCACTCTCTACACATGGAGCAAAGAATTCGAGAAGTGGAATGCTGATGTTCCCTTGTACATTGTCCATGCATGGCGAGACTATGAGAGAAAGGGGAATGTTCGAGAAAAATCAGGAAATAATCGAAAGTTACCCAGAAGAATTGCGCATATAACAGACTGCTTAAAGAAGATACATACATGGCATGAGTATCCAAGTGTACTTCTGATGAGTTACCCCACTTTCTTCTGTATAACAAGGGAAAGGTGTGAGTACAAGAAAAAAATGTCAGGTGTGTTGTTAAATAACACGGGGCTTCTAATACTCGATGAAGGACACAAGCCTAGGAGCAACAGCTCCAAGTTGAGAAAGGCACTAATGGCAGTTAAAACAAGCAAGAGAATTCTCCTCTCGGGAACTTTGTTCCAAAATAATTTTGAGGAGTATTTCAACACGCTCTACCTCGCGAGACCCTCCTTTGTTTTTGAGGTGTTGATGGAATTTCGGGAGGTGCAAGTAGCTAATTGTGGCATGGGAAGCCCAGACATGGAGAGAAGAAATGAGAGGGTAGCGAGGGGCTTCTTCGTCGATGAGATAGCTCGTAGGATAGACTCAGGGATCAAGCAAGAACGCCAAAGGGGTCTTCAAAAGCTGAGAAAGATCACAAGTAATTTTATTGACACTTATGAAGGTGGGGTTCTCGAGAGTCTCCCAGGCCTGCAAACCTACACAATAATGATCAAACCAACTCTAATGCAACAGCCAATTCTCAACAATCTACAAATGGCAATTGAAAGATCCAAGGTGTTCTCTCTTGAATTGGAGTTCTTGATCACAGTGGCTTCTATCCATCCTTGGTTACTAAAGACCATGGGATGTGGAAGGAAGTACTTAACTGAGGCTGAGATTGGGGGGCTAAGTTGCCACCCCGAGCAAGGCTCAAAGGTGGAGTTTATTGTGGACCTGGTGCAACTATGTGCTATTAAGAAAGAGAAAGTTTTGATATTTTCCAAATACATAGAACCAATCAACTTTCTAGTGGAGATATTCGAATTAAAGTTTGGCTGGCAGGTGGGTAATGAGGTACTTGTTCTTCAAGGCAATCAAGATCTTTACGAACGAGGTGTAGTCATAGAAGAATTCAACAAAGTTGGAGGGTCAGCGAAAGTGCTTTTAGCTTCCACATCTGCTTGTTCAGAGGGAATTAACTTGACTGGGGCATCGAGGCTCGTGTTATTGGATGCTGAGTGGAACCCATCAAAGATAAAGCAGGCCATAGCTCGAGCCTTTCGACTTGGCCAAGAGAGAATGGTTTATGTGTACAAGTTAGTGGCTTTGGGGACCATTGAAGAGGATAAATACAGGAAGACAGTGTGGAAAGAGTGGTTGTCGAGATTGGTCTTTGAGGGTGGAAAAGCGGAGGAATCAACCCATAGGCAGGCAGAACACATAGAGGATGATATGTTGAGGGCAATGGTTGGACAAGACCAAGGCAGGAGGTTGCAAATGGTTACACAGGAGAGTGATAAGCAAGTTTTGGGTGCAAGATTTGAGGATCAAGTAGTATAGTGATAAGCATGATTTTGGGTGCAACATTAAGTGGTAGCCTGCTTTCTCCATCAAGAAGTTTGAATGGGAAGTGAGACTCACCTGTAATGGTGAATTTTGGGTTTGTTTTGAGGCTTGGACTGCATTTACTTATGGTGAAAGTTTGAACCTTGATGGAGAAATGGTTATTATCATTATTGTATATCTATACCATACATACTAAATTCCTTGGGCCCCGTTTGGACATCCTAAATAAGGCGATCCTAACCCCATTCATTCATATACTTTTGTGGCGGAATGCATGCCAACTTGCTGCACCAGTATTCATAGGCGCAATGTCAAAACTAAAACCCCTCCCTCCCGCCTTCAATATTGGGGTTATATAAATAGAAATAAAAAGGGAAATAATATTTTTGCCTCTATGGACATGACTGTAGCAGCCAACTGTTTCACAAGTGCGTATAAAACCATGCGAAATTTAGGCACTACTAAGATTAGTAAGATGTCGAAACAGGGCTTTAGGATGTAAGTGTGTGCCGTCATCATGAAATAAAGACAAGCCAATTTCCGTTTGATTTAACAAGAGCTTTTAGATCTTTAATATTTCCTTACAAAATAGAAAACTCTCTTTATAATACAAACAGAAGTTTTTTGTTCTCTCTGCACAAAGTAAGAAACTCACTTTTCACATTAGGAGTCTCTTTTTATAATTAGGTCTCTTTGTAGGTGGGGATTAAAAAGTTGAAAATAAAATAATATTAAGCAGAACATTATGACTAAAGCAATCTCAATTGTCCGATCATGCTTGGCAATGGGGATGAGAATCATTGAGCTGTTAGCTCTCCTTTCCTAAGGTGATCAAGGTCAGAAGCCTATCAATGGTGGCTACCTAGGCAAAAGAATCGAGTCCAATGAAGGGTCAAGAAGGCCCGCACGAATGATGTCGTGGAAGAGTCTAACAATGTAAAACAAATTACATTATAATGCGCAAATTATCCTCTCTAATTATATAGTGACTTGTGATCTAACTGAGAGCGAATGGCCCTCCCTTTTGTATAATAGTATAACTGGCTTAGGTTTTCTTGGAGCCCTCCCCTACGAGATGCGAAGCCAGGCCTAGAGAGATGAAGCTATTCCCGGTCCGAAGAGAAGCGGATAGTTGATCCTGGTATGTTAGATTGGCAGAAAGGACCCATTTCATGTGTTTTCCTTAGAAGTCAGATCTCTTCGGGTGGATGCTATCCTGCCATTGTAGTGAACAATGTTGTTACGGAGGAGAAGGCTAAGTCTTGAGATCCATTGTTAGGCTGTTGAGTTGCAGGGTTTATGCTAGGTGCAGTAGCGGAGGCCTCCAAAGTATTGAAGCAAAGACGCTCTGGGGTTAAAGACAATTTACTTACTATAGATTCTTGGAAACCACAACGTTGCTGGTCTTACATTACGTCGAGGTTCTTTGGATTAAGGCATAGGATGTTCATCTCGACTCTTAAAACTTTAGCATCTTTGAAGTTATTGATTGGAGGTCTCTTACAGGTGATTTTCTAACTTTGTTAGGATAAAAAAGATTTGGATTTTTCGTCTCAGGTGCTTTTAAAAGTCAAAATGGAGGAATATCTTGTTCCTGTGACTGTCCATAACTGGTTGCCTATTCCTCGTAGAGTCTAGAGTAGCATTGATAATGAAGTCAATTGTTCTACTTGTAGGGGGTGGCAATGGACCCGGACCCGACACGGGTCCAGGTATGGGTTCAACATTTGGACCCGCAGGTTAGGTCCAGGTCTAAAATTTGAACCCGAACACTGTTCGAGTATGGGTCCGGTTGGTCTCGACCCGTACCTGTAAACTGTTGGAGATAAAATACTTCAAGTTTTATTCGTTTGGGTGTATTAAAGATCATATATAATAAGAATTCTCATTCATCTTTAACTATTAAATGCCAAATCAGACGACTTGAAAATCTAATGACAGGTGATTGTGACCTGTCAATAATATGAGTATATAATAGTAAAAAACATGCAAAAAAAAAAAAAAAGAAGCTCATAATGATGGTGGCAATGGACCCAACCATACCCGAGATTCGACAGGATAGACCCGAGACCCGACGGATACAAGTACCCGACCCATTGCCACCCCTAAGACTACTTGCCAGATTTGTTAGGTAAGCGAATTTTTCATATGAAAATTATGTTAAGCTCTTTTGGTACGCGACAAATAGGTATGAAAAATTTTCCCATGGTAGAAATTTTTATCAAAAATTTGACTAATTCATCTGAAAATAGAACTACATCGCTTGAGATGGGGAAGTACACCCGCGGGTTCATTTCAAGGAAAAAGTTTATATAAGTATGCAACCTTCCAATGCTGAACTCCAGATACACCTCAAAAATCCATCGATAAATGTAGTTTTAATGTTGAAAAACCCTTTGATTGATCATCTCGACATCGAGATGTATGACCATGAAAAATAAAAAGATTTTAAGTCTAAAAAATAGTGCATTTTACAATATATTATCTACACCGTCCATTTTTATGATTTTCATATGTTTATAGATCTACTTGATTTTAATCATTTTTTATATTTAAAATTTTATAATTAGATATAAAAATAGATTTTGAGATAATCCTGAGAACATTTTACATCAAAATTATATATCATGATAAAATTTGAAGGTGCACCTTACCGCTACTGCTACGAATGTATCCGTATGCCAACTGCACCCTTATTTCATACTCTAGAGCCACCCATTTCATCAAATAAAATTAATTCTACCAACATACTACCACAAATTAGAGAGAAAAACTATCTCAATTTTTAAGTTTTGGATAAAAAATATCTTAAAATTTTAGGAGGAAACTATTTCAAAATTTTAGAAAGAAACTAATATCAAATTTTAAGTTTTAGAGAGCAAAAATATCTTGGAATTTTAGAGAGAGAAAATTTCTTAGAATTTGAAAGAGGGAATCTATATCAAATTTTAGAGAGATAAACTATCTCTTGTTTTAAGTATTAGAGAGAGAAAGAAACTGTAACAAATTTTAAAGAGAGAAACTACTTGAAAATTTTTAGAGAGAGAAACTATATCAAAATTTAAGTTTAAGAGAGAGAGAAATAATCTTAAAATTTTAGAGATGAAAAACTATATCAAATTTCAAACAGAAAAAGTACTTGAAATTTTTTTAAGAGATAAACTATCTCAAATTTTAAGTTTTAGAGAGAGTATCTTAAAATTTTAAATAAAGAAACTACATCAAATTTTAGAGAGAGAAACTACCTGGAATTTTTTTGAGAGAGAAACTATCTTAAATTTTAAGTATTAGAGAGAGAGTATCCTAAATAATCTAGAAAAATAGATTATTTGAGGAAGATGTCGTACACAAAATTAGAGCAGGGTGGGTGAAGCGGAGATTTGCAGCTAGAATTTTATGTAATCAATGTATTCCAATGAAAGTGAAGGGCAAGTTCTACATGACAGCTGTAAGACCAGCATTGCTCTATGAGGCTAAATGTTCGGCGAACAAAAATCAATATACCCATAGAATGAGTGTGACAGAGATGAGGATGTTGAAATGGATAAGTGGCAAGGTAATAAGAGATATAATCCGAAATGAATCCATTCGGAAGAATTTAATTGAGGCATCAATAAAATACAAAAAAGTAGACTTAAGTGGGTTGGCCATGTGTAGCGTTAATCAAGTACAGTACCTATTAGGAGGTGTGAGTTAGTTCAAATATTTAAAAAGGCAAAGGGTACGCCAAAAAGGACGTGGTTGGAAGTGGTTTGTAAAGATATAAAGACTTATGGCATCATTTAAATTATGGCCTTTAATAGAGTAGAATGACGGATTAGTATTCTTATAGTCGACCTCAATTAATTGGAAAAATGTTATGATGATGACGATGATGATGATGATGAGAGAGAGCGAGTATATTAAAATTTTAGAGAAATAAACTATGTCAAATTATAAATAGAGGAACTACCTGAAAATTTTTAGAGAGAGAAACTATTTAAAAAATTTTAAATAGAGAAACTATCTCAAATTGCATACTTTTATAGACATGTATCAAAAATTTTAGAGAGAGAAAATTTTCTGAAAAAAATATGATTTACAGAGAGAAAGCATATCATCAGAGCCTTTTTTCAACTATTTGGACTTTGCTACATAAATCATGGTTTGTCGTTCAAGAGAAACTATATCAAAATTTTAAGTTTGATGAGTTCTCTTTCTCAGCTTACTTCCAACCAAGTTTTACCAAACATGGGAAAAAGCATGTTTGAGTAAATTTTTTCATGTAAACGATTTACATATGTAAATATTTTTCTATCAAACTTTCACGCATACCAAGATATAAACAATTACATATAAGAGAAACCGATTACGGTCAAAAAGAGAAAAGGCCGTGTTTTGTGACTTTTGTCCACATAACACAACAAAGATACGAGAGGATGTTCTTCGATCACTGGAGGTCGCAAACCTAAGTGTTTATGTTTTGGTTGAGAGTTTAGTTAGGAACATTAAGCTTTGAACCTATTTTTTCATAAATAAATTAGTTCGAAACTTAAATTTTCCAACTGCTTATTCATAAAGAAAAAAAAAAAAAGACAAGTTAATCAATTCGAAAGTCCAAATTCTACTTCAAGCTCACAATGCTCTTAGATCACTAGCAAATTTAGGAGAACTTTACGCAATCCCCTGAACTAATGTTATTATAAAATTCTCTTAAATTTTTATTTTTTATATTTATACCCTATTTCCATATTATATTTTTCTCAAAATGCCTTTTTAGACTTTTAAGGTCTGAAATGGGAAGATAACTCTTAACTTTGAAGATCTGATGTTAAGACTCAAAGTGATACCAGTAAATTTTAATGATATGAAGCTACCATTGACTTTGGAGTTTCAAAATCCAAAATCAATCTTTCTTGTTACAATATCAAACCTTGAAGATTAGATGTCATTTTGACAAACTCGACATCGAATCATGAGAATCCAAAGTCAATAGAAAATAAAAAACTTGACTTTAGACTATGAAAGTCTAGAGGTAATTAAAGAAATCTTGACTTTAGACCATAAAGGTCTAAAGTTATGGTAAAAATATATATTCGGAACTTTAGTTCGAAGTCATTATTAGTGAACGCATTTTTTTAAAAGATAAAAGAGAAAAAGGTGTGAAGATAAAATACAAAAAGGGCAAGCTTTCTGTGCTTCCTCTACAGCATAGAAGTTATATCCTCCTCCTTATCCAACTGTCCATTTTGAATGGAGGGCTAAGATTGCCCCAAGCACAATATCACATCTCTAAACTATTTTATTTTTAACTTTTTTCTATAAACTATTTTGACACCAAATTTGGACGTCCATTCCTATATTAAACTCGCACTAACGAAAAATATATAAAAAAAATATTTTCAATAAAATAAAA